CCCTGGAAATGCATGGAATTAAGGAGATAATGGCTGCCCCACCAGTTCTCCTGGATCTTTTAGAGGAGGAATGGCCTCTGGAAGAGCCGAGCCCTCGGCCGAGGGCTCGGCTCTTCCAGAGGCCATTCCTCCTCTAAAAGATCCAGTTTGATTTTTTTCTACAGCCCGTAGCACCAGTAGCTTCTCCTTCCTTTCTGTGATGTTGATGGTAATTCGATTCCGAAGCCTTAAATTAGTGCTGACTTGACGTGATGATGGAGATGATGATGATGATGATGATGATGAAGTCTAAGCTTTGTGTGCCATCGTTTACCTTCCCTGAAGCAGCGTGGGCTACTAACCAGACGCAACACCCTCTCTAATGCAAAGGTTGGAGTTCCATCTCTTTTTATTATTATAATAATTATTATTATTATTATTATTATTATTTTTCTTTAACAGGAAGTCGTATTTTGGTGTGGCTTAACTGTATTTCAGAAGGTTCATCAGACTAACTGTCGAGACTGCTTCCCTGAAACATTTTTGTGCTATTGTTTAAAAAATAAAAAATAATAATTAAAAAAAAAAAAAATTAAAAAAAAAACGGTTGGCGTTAATAAAAATGTCAATGTGAGATTTCACGTCCCCCATCTCGTGTTCTGTTTGAAGAGAGTCTGGCTGCTTTGGGAGGAGCTAAAACCTCTGAGGGATGAGTGGAGGTCGTGTCTCGAGGAAAAACCTGTTCCCAGCTTCCTTCCTCCTCCTCCTCCTCTTCCTCCTCCCCTGCTCTCGGCGCTGGGGCTTAGGGAGCTCCCGGGCAACCCCTTGTACGTAGAGCTGGGGTCATTGGGGTAAAGAGGGTATCGAGGACTAATGTGGGCAGAGTGGGGAAGGGAAAAGGGATGGGAAAGGGAAAAGGGATAGGGGATGGATAGGGAAGGGAAAGGGAAGGAAAAAGGGAGGGAAGAGAAAGGAGGGAAGGAAAAAGGGAAGGAAAAAGGGAAGGAAGAGAAAGGAGGGAAAAAAAGGGAAGGAAAAAGGGAAGGAAGAGAAAGGAGGGAAAAAAAGGGAAGGAAAAAGGGAAGGAAGAGAAAGGAGGGAAAAAAAGGGAAGGAAAAAGGGAAGGAAGAGAAAGGAGGGGAAAAAAGGGAAGGAAAAAGGGAAGGAAGAGAAAGGAGGGAAAAAAAGGGAAGGAAAAAGGGAAGGAAGAGAAAGGAGGGAAAAAAAGGGAAGGAAAAAGGGAGGAGGGAAAGAAAAAGGGAGGGAAGAGGGAAAGAAAAGGGGAAGGGAAGAGGGGAGGAAGAGGGAAGGAAAAAGGGAAGAGGAGAAGGAAAAGGGGGAAGGAAAAGGGAAGAGAGGAAAGAAAAAGGGGAAGGAAAAGGGAAGAGAGGAAAGAAAAAGGGAAAGGGAAAGGGAAAAAGAAAAGGAAACAAAATACTATGAATGAGCAAATTTCTATTAAACAAACACCTGGGAAGTTGAGGGACTCGGCAAGAAGGAAGAGTGTTGTGCAAATGGTGCTGGTGCCACCCAGGATGGACTGGGGCAGGGGACGCAGCAGGAGCGGGTGAGTTAGTGGCCAGGGGAGGGGAGTTAGTGGCTAGCAGGGGTGAGTTAGTGGCCAGGGGAGGTGCAGCGCTCTTGAAGGGTATCCCTAGGGCTGGTGTGTCTCCAGGGTCAGAAATGAGACCAAAAAGGGGAATTCTGTAGAAAGGAGGGAAAAAAAGGGAAGGAAAAAGGGAAGGAAGAGAAAGGAGGGAAAAAAAGGGAAGGAAAAAGGGAAGGAAGAGAAAGGAGGGGAAAAAAGGGAAGGAAAAAGGGAAGGAAGAGAAAGGAGGGGAAAAAAGGGAAGGAAAAAGGGAAGGAAGAGAAAGGAGGGAAAAAAAGGGAAGGAAAAAGGGAAGGAAGAGAAAGGAGGGAAAAAAAGGGAAGGAAAAAGGGAGGAGGGAAAGAAAAAGGGAGGGAAGAGGGAAAGAAAAGGGGAAGGGAAGAGGGGAGGAAGAGGGAAGGAAAAAGGGAAGAGGAGAAGGAAAAGGGGGAAGGAAAAGGGAAGAGAGGAAAGAAAAAGGGGAAGGAAAAGGGAAGAGAGGAAAGAAAAAGGGAAAGGGAAAGGGAAAAAGAAAAGGAAACAAAATACTATGAATGAGCAAATTTCTATTAAACAAACACCTGGGAAGTTGAGGGACTCGGCAAGAAGGAAGAGTGTTGTGCAAATGGTGCTGGTGCCACCCAGGATGGACTGGGGCAGGGGACGCAGCAGGAGCGGGTGAGTTAGTGGCCAGGGGAGGGGAGTTAGTGGCCAGGGGAGATGCAGTGCTCTTGAAGGGTATCCCTAGGGCTGGTGCGTCTCCAGGGTCAGAAATGAGACCGAAAAGGGGAATTCTGTTGGTCCCGAGGGGGGTGTGCTGTCGGGAGCGGTGTCGTTCCTGCTGCGGAGCCCGTGGCCTTTCAGCACCGTCCGGTTCCTCCTCTGCCTCTCGCTCAGGGACAAAGGGTCGGGCAGAGCCAGCGGCGAGGTGTGAAATGAGAAGTTGTGTAGCTGCGAGTTGGGGTGATCTTGTTTTGGCTCCCAACGATGCAAATGAGGCGCAGGCGGTTGAAGGAGAGGGACAGAAATAACGAGCTGGTGGTCGGGGAGGGAACTGAGCAGCCCCAACGGGCTGGCGGGTCCCTGCAAAGAAAGGAGATGTTTTTTTAGTTCTTCGTGAGAGTAAGTTTGGGATTTATCTGCTTAGTATGAGATATTTTTGTTCCTCTGGAGTCAAATCAATGCTCGGGGTCAGGACAAGAAGCACAGGGGTTCTTGTGGGTGAGGGGAAGGGCTGGAATGAGGCTCCTGTGATAATTAGTGAGGATGTTGCCCGTTAGAAGGAGCTGAGGGGGCCGTGTCCCACGCACACGGCAGAGATACCCACACCCCCCCGATGCTCAACAAGGACCCACTGTGTCCATTCAGGTTAAACACGTTTGGAGACATCTTGGTGTCTTCTTTCTTCCCTCTCGGGGAGTTTCACTGGTTTCTGTGTCAAATCCTAAATAAAGACCTAAACTCTGTGGGTAATAGTGGGGTCCTTTATTCCTACTATGGGCCAAAAATGGAAATAAAAGCACCAGGAGGTTTCCCAGCAGCAGGAGGAGGAGTTTGCCTCCACCTCCCAGCATCTGGGTGAGGGGAAGGGCTGGAATGAGGCTCCCGTGATAATTAGTGAGAAGGTTCCCCGTTAGAAGGAGCTGAGGGGGCCGTGTCCCAGGCACACGGCAGAGATACCCACACCCCCCCGATGCTCAACAAGGACCCACTGTGTCCATTCAGGTTAAACACGTTTGGAGACATCTTGGTGTCTTCTTTCTTCCCTCTCGGGGAGTTTCACTGGTTTCTGTGTCAAATCCTAAATAAAGACCTAAACTCTGTGGGTAATAGTGGGGTCCTTTATTCCTACTATGGGCCAAAAATGGAAATAAAAGCACCAGGAGGTTTCCCAGCAGCAGGAGGAGGAGTTTGCCTCCACCTCCCAGCATCTTCCAGCCCTCCCAGCATCTCCATGGCCTCCTCTGGCCCCATCCAACAGCTCCATGTTCTTCCTTGTGTTGAGGACCCCAAAGCTGGACACGGAGCTCCAGGTGGGGTCTCCCCAGAGGGGAGCAGAGGGGTACAATCCCCCCCTCACCCTGGTGGCCACACTTCTCTTGATGCAGCCCAGGATGGGGTTGGATTTCTGGGCTGCCAACGCGTGTTACCAGCTCACGTGGAGCTTCTCATCCACGAGCACCCCCAAGTCCTTCTCCTCGGGGCTGCTCTCCAGCCATTCTCCACCCAACCTGTACCTCTGCCTGGGATTCCTGTGTTCACGTCTTGAACCTGGTGTCACCTTAAACTCTGCTCCATTTGTGGGGGTTCCTTTGAGGGTTCCCACTCAACCCCCACCTCTGGACAGACACAAACCCACAGATGGTTCCTCTCCCTTGAAATTTCTCTGCCTTTTGGATTTTCTGAGAAACCTCAAGCAGCCTCAACGGACGGGGGCACCGGGTCACCTCCTCCTTCTTCTACCCGTTAATTTCACTGGCCCCGAGGACCCCAACGGCTCCAGGGTTGTCCCAAAGGTTGGCAGCCTTTCGGCATTTCCCTCCCTGGTGTCTGAAAGCCGGGGATGATATAAGCCTCTAACGCCAACGCTGACGATGCCATTTATGGCAACGAGGAGAAAACCAGCACATTTAGCTCAAGGTTACAGCTCCAGCCCAAGCACTGCCCCGGGGGGTGGCGGGGGCTGACTCCACGCTCACATTTCTCCTCATTTCACTCTGGGTTTGGGGGCTTTCCTCGCTACTAAGCCCCAAATTTGTACCCAATTCCATCATCCTCCTCTCCTGGCTCTCCTACGGCAGCAGTTCCCTGGGGAACGCTCCGAAGGGTTGGGAGGGTCAGTGAAACCAGCCCCAGGAGCACCGTGGGCTTCGGGGCTGTGCCCTTGGGGGTGGGGAGGGACCAGGGGGACAGTTTGGAGGCGGGAGGGGGGGACAGTGTCCAGGAACCCCAGCACCAAACCGCAGCTGCCCCTCAGGCTCCTCCGTTCCCCTCTCGCCTCCTCCCCGTGGGGGATTGGCTGCAGGAGAGTGAATTTCACCTGATTTCAACCCAAACGCCCGCTCGGGGAGTTGGCTTTGACCAGAGGTGTCCCACGGAGCGGTGAAAAGGGCACGAAGTGACCTCCATTCCTCCAGGACGAGTAACGTGTCCGTTCCGTGAGTCAAGCTGTAAATAGCAATTGTCTGAAATTAATTAAGGGGGAGAATTTAGAGCTCTGCCCATCAGAGCCCCACGCTGGTGTAGTTTACCGGGGAGAAGCGTCCCCTCTGTCCCTTCTCCTGCTGCCACCTCATCCCACGCTCCTTCTGCATCTTCTCTTGGAGACCTCGGAGCTTTGCAGCCCCCACTGAACCCCGGAGCCCCCGTCCCAACCTGGAGGTTCATCCCAGCTTTGTTTTTCCAGCTGTTTTTCCATCCCGCAGACGCAGGCAAGACACCACCCAACACGCTGATGGCTGCAGGATGAACAGAACCCAAAAGACATTTTTTTTTAGCCCCTGCTTGTAACTTTTCAACCAGCCAGCGCGAGGCTCGGTCCTCCCCACCCAGAGATCTCAAAGGGCTTTAGAAAAGAAGCCGATCTGGATTCACCCCCCTTTTAAAACCCGAGACTTCAGGCACGGGTAGACCAAAATCAGTTTTCTGAGCTTCTCCTGCAGCCGCTGGCAAAGGCAGGGACAGTATTTAGGTCTCCTGAGCCCCAGAGCACCCGCCTGTCCCTGTAACCTGAATTGCTTTTGGGGAACGATGAATTTTTTGCCTTGCAGAGCTGGGGGTACGAGTCCACTTCCCCAGGAGTGAGTAAGGTGAGTCCTCGGGGACCAGCACTGACCAGCACTTGCTCTGCTCTACAGCAAAGCCTTGTCCTTGGGCAACAGCTCGTGTTTGAGGTGGGAAATGGAGGTGGTGTGGGATGGGAAGGGCCTGGAGACATCGTGGAGGAGTTTGGCTGCTTTTTCTCCATCTTCCACTTCCAGCTGGAGGGGGAAAAACCCTCCTGGGACCTCAGCCCACGGGAGCGAGCAGTGATGGTGACACCAGCCTCTGTGTCTGACTCCAGAGCTGGTCCTGGGACCTCAGCCCACGGGAGCGAGCAGCAGTGGTGACACCAGCCTCTGTGTCTGACATCAGAGCTGGTGGATGGGGCCAGGGGAGGCCACAGGGATGATCAGAGGCTGGAGCCCCTCTGCTGGGAGGGGGGGCTGAGAGAGTTGGGGGGTTCAGCCTGGAGAAGGCTCCGGGGAGACCTTGGAGCCCCTTCCAATATCTGAAGGGGCTCCAGGAGAGATGGGGAGGGACTCTGGATGAGGGAGGGGAGCCCTAGGAGGAGGGGAAGGGTTTGACACCAAAAGAGGGGAGATTGAGATGAGATTTAGGAAGGAATTTTTCCCTCTGAGGGTGGTGAGAGCCTGGCCCAGGTTGCCCAGAGAAGCTGTGGCTGCCCCATCCCTGGAGGGGTTCAAGGGCAGGTTGGAGGGGGCTTGGAGCAACCTGGGCTGGTGGGAGGTGTCCCTGCCCAGGGCAGGGGGTTGGAACTGGATGATCTTCAAGGTCCCTTCCAACCCCAACCATCCCATGATTCAATGACTCCCAAACCCCCTCCCTCCCACCCGCCCCTTCCCGGGAAGCACCGGCAGGTTCCCAGCAGAGTGATTAATCAAAGAAGCACTTTCTCAGGGAGGAGCCCAGCCCAGCGCACCCCGGCCTCCTGCCCGCGGGACAGGGCCGGGCCGGGGCCGTTAATTGTCCCTTCTCCCGGTAATTTGTCCCTTCTCCCCGTGGCCTTTCTATCCAGCCCTACAGTGAAGCCTGATTGAGTTACTAATTGCTCCCCGCCGGGGAGCACGCTGGAGCCCTGCAAGTCACAGAAGCCGCCTTCAATTGTTCACCCACACCTTGGTGCCGCCTTTCGTTATTTTTTTCCCGGTATTCGGTTTTTCCCGGTCTCCAGTTTTCCCAATATTCGGTTTTTCCCGGTATTTTCCCCCAGTATTCATTCCCCCTTCTAACATCCCACGGATTTGGCTCCAGCCTCTCCCTGCGGCTGCCGTCACCCCCCCTCTTCGGACCGGGTGAACCGCGATCCCCCCGGGGGAGGCCGGTAACGGGGAAACCGGTGCCGGTGCCCTCCCGTGCCCGCGGCACCCACTCGTCTCCGCCACCGCCGGGGTCGCGGCGGGGCAGCCG